TAATTGTCTTTGTACTGTTCTATTATATTAGTATAAATAATAAGTGAAGGGGGCGGCCAAATTAATTGCTCTCTTTTCTTTCAACTTCTCTTCTACTCTTCTTCTCCTTCTCTCTTCCTTCTCTCTTCAAGAAACTACTTTCTTTCATATTTTTTAATTCAGCAGATTTCTACTTGGTATCAGAGCATCGACTAGGGTTTCTTGAAGCATTCTCATGCAGCCCTAGATCAGCTGACTGCATGAAGTAGTAAAGGGTTGATTGATCTGCTATAGATTGCCCGGTTCTTGAAGTTTTTGGTGGGATCTAGACATCAGGAAGGTGATCTACTGTTCAACATCAAAATCAGGAAGAACTGGAGTACGGGGAAGAGTCCCAGAAAAGTTGGACTCTTTGTTTTTGATCTGATCTTGGGCGCCCAGGTATTGTTAGTTTTCTTTTGATTTTCTGAAGAGGGTGGTTTGGTTTCTGAAATTTTCTAGGCCTCCCGGAGTGATCGATTCACTTCTCTCTGTTGGGAGGCGTGGGGAGGAGAGAGATTTCCCTCCAGATAGGGTTTTCTTCTTCCGAAAGGGTTGGTTATTGTGGATGCTTTTGTTGGAAAGGAATACAGCCGCAGACAACAGCAGTAAGGGGCATTAGATTCAGTGTTCCTATCCTATCTTATCTCTTAGCTAGATTTAGTGTTCCTATCTTATCTCTTGGCTAAATTCAGTGTTCCTATTAATTAGGCAGTAGCATTATTATATCCTATGTCTTTTAGAAAGTTTCCTTATTTTTTTTAGAAAGTCTCTTTTTGGAAAGTTTCTTAATGTTTTTAGAAAGTTCTTTTTCAGAAAGTTTCCTTAAGAAGGACTCTTGTAATTCCTATTTAAAGGAGTAGATGTTATTCAATAAAACTATCAATAATTTCAGTCAAGAAAGAGTAGAGGAGAGTTGGTGATCTCTTTAACAAATCACCATAAAGGCGCTAAAGATAGGTTCCTCGAGAAAAGGGAGAAACAAGGGAAAACAAGAAGTTTTCCCCGTTAACCGACCCGTGACGAGATCCTATTCGTGGGCCCTTAACAATTTGGTATCAGAGCAGGGCGTCATGGGTGACTTTGAGCAATTGAAGACTAGGGTTCATGATCTGGAGCACAAACTCGTGGAAAACAACAAGGAGGTGCGCGAGATCAAGGACGACGTCCGAGAATTGAGGCACTTGATGAAGTTATATTTTTCTAGCAAGGAAAAGAGTTTAGAAGGGGCTGCAACCAAAGATGGCCGCTGACCAGACATGGCAGAATCGTCCGGCGAGCAGTAGGTCGTTGCCTAGGGAACCGCGATCGTTCCCAAATACAACAGGCTGGAATTCCCTTCCTATAATGGAACTGGAGATCCTTTGGGATGGCTGTACAGATGTGAGCAGTTCTTTCGCAACCAACAGACAGAGGACAGGGACAAGGTAGGCTTAGCCGCATTCCACATGACAGAGGAGGCGCAACTCTAGTTTTACAAATTGGAGCAGGAGGAACCTGGGCTCAGTTGGACCCAATTCAAATCCTACTGCCTTCTCAGATTTGGGCCCCCATTAACAAGCAATCCATTAGGNTGGATGTGGAGATGCAAAATCCCCCCAATCTGGTTACTGCTATGAATTTGGCTCGCGCTTTTGAACGCAAATTGCAACTCAACCGCGGAAGTATCTGTATAGGGCGGCCTCAAACAACATGGGCAGCCCTGAAACCACTCAGAATGGCTCCATCTTCAGCAGCCAGCCAAGAACAGAAACCACAGACGAGAAACAATTCCA